ATGTTCTCATGAATGTAAAACAGATTCAGACCTTAATATGTATAACGCTCGACAGTAGTGAACAGTATATCAAAATCGCTCGTGGTTCTGCTTAAGTACGTTTCTCTCAATGTATCAACAAATGCGTAACAATCTGAATCATCTCCCCCCAAAATTTGCTAAGTTCTCCTGAGTTCTTATTAAGTTCTATTCTTGCGAATTGTCAAGACATTTTTATTCTTCTTTAATTACTTGAAGATCTTAAATATATACACATACATACAGATTACGTACATATATTTGCACATATATAGAAGCGTATATTATTAAAATATATTATTGTTGGAAAATGTTTGACTTGCGCATAAAAATTTTATTGCATATCTTTTCGTGGTTTCATAATGTTTAATAGAAACAGAATATTTATTTTAGCAATTTACATTATTATATGATAAATAATATCACAGCCGAAAAAAATTACTTTGTTTTTTTATAAAATAGGAAATAGAAATTTTTTCGATAAAGATATTACATAGATTAAAATTCATGATACGATTTAATTCAAATATATGTTTAACATTATTATAGCGAAATTTGTGCACTAAATAATAAGTATATAAATAATACTATTTTTATTATAAAAATAAAAAAATAAAAAAGTGTCATATTTAATTGACACAGTTCTTTTCATTTACGAGGCATATTGGAAGACAACCATCAAAAATATGTGTGTATGTGGTAGTATTTATATCATACCAACTATGAAATTGACTTCCGATAAGCGGAGAACAAGATTGATGATCGAATGATGCGCGATGGTTGTCGAAATTTCTGGCAACCGTTGGCCATTTTAACGGGCAAAATTCAAGGATCAGTCATATCGTTCAATATCCCAGCCATCAAACGCAGACGAATGCGTTCATACAGGATGTTTAAAGAAAACCATTCAATATTTATATAATAGATAAGACACATCGTACTGAGTAAAAAAACCTTAATAAATATAGGTCGAAAGCTCAACCGTTTCTGAGATATAAATATTTTTGTTAGTATCATGATTAACTTACTGGCTTCTAGGTATGGCATGCGATGTTTACCTCAGTGTTTATAAACCGTTTTGAATGTTTTCATTCAATTTCCATACATACTTCATAACAGAAGATTCCACCGACAATCAGTTAGTTTTTATCAACCGGCGATTGCGGATCTTTGCGATTAGCAAGGAGATGCCAAGCGCGTATAGAAATGGAAAGAGGACATGTGAAATATCTTCTGTAAATATCGAGATAAAGATTTAAACAGATTATCTTCTTCTCACGTTGCATGCTATCTACCATATAAATATTAAATGGTTTTTTTAACACCCTGTATAAAATATTTTGAAAATGTTCTGCACTGATAACAAATCAAAACTTTTGTAATTATATTATTTCAAGTAGTAGATGTTTGCAATCGTTTAAAAAGAGAAAGCAACTCAATGTCTTCTTAAAAACTCTTTCATTTCTAAATTAAATTATTTTACATCTTAAAGAAGGAATAGAGAATGTGCAGAATACTTCTCATTTTTCATCTTTACATCAAATATTTGTTCACTTATTACGCGTTTATTATTTTATTACAGCTAAGTGAATCTGAAAAAATGGGATTACTTTTTAAAAGTTTATTAGCATTTATTAATTTTTATTTATTGCTTATGAATTTTTTGTATATATGTCTCTCGTGTTGGAATTTCCTTTTTTCTTACGTTTCATAACTATTGCCAGTCATCTTGCGTTTCTATTTCTTCTTCTTCCGGTAGTACTTTAACTTTTATTTTTACTCCCGTCTATTCCCGATGCTCCTCCGTCAAATATTTAAAGGTTTCCTCTTTTTCACCGAGTTGCTGTAAATGTATGATGTTCATTTTTTAGCAGATCCCCAATGTAGAAAACTTACTACCATGTTTTCTGTTATTCTGCGCTTCACAATTATAGTATTACCAAATAGTACCATATTACTATTTTGCAAGGCAATTTCAATATTCTCAGTTTCATCTGCATGATTAACGAATTTTGTGCAAGACGGATAGATACCTGCAAAGAATATTCGATGCAATAATGATAGTGATAGTGATGGAGTTTTATTTTTATCACATAATCTCTCATCGATCACAGCGGTATCCGAGATTCGTTACGAGTTTGGCAGAGACATAATATCCACGGATCGTCTTCTTTATTAGCAGCACTCAAATCCAGATGGAAAATCTTTCATAGTAAGGCGGCGGTGCTATCCGCATCTCGGACGGGATATGAATTTCATATTTTACGATAATATCGCGGGATGTTCTCGTAGGATAAACGAATCTTGCAGTTTTCACATGCTTATCGGAAAATCGTATCTGTACTTGAATTTTTTTAAACATTATCTTTCCTCGTACTTTATATCCACTTTTCCATATCCTAACGATATTGCGTTAAAATTGATACAATCAAAATGATAAATGGATATCATAACATATAACTAATTGAAATACGGGACGAAGAAAACTTAGCGCAAATATGACAGGATCTTTTACGTCACAGTAAAAGTTTTATTGCGTAATTCTCTTGCGAAGCCTGACAGTTACACGTTTCCCGTCTTACTTTTTGTTCCATTCTTCATTTTGTTATTTTTTAGAAAAAGTTTGGATAGAAATATAAATCATAATTATGAATTTTATAACAATAAACGTTAATAAAGCTTTAATAACAAGGAAATGTAAAGTTAAAAATACTCTTTGCAGGAAAACATGCAATGTCGTGTAGTTTCAATTATACTTTCTCTCTCTCTTTTTCACTCATTTCAAACTATTTAATATTGCTTCAAGTAATATTTAATTTTTCTATTGACTTACTCAAATTATATTTCCTTGGAATAATTTAAATTTTTGTTTAAGTTTGTTCTTCTTTATACAACTTATCTGATAAATATTAATCATTCGTGAATATATATTTGCATTGAGCGAGGAATAAGGATGTTTTAAAAACACAACGTATATTTTTATCAACTTCCTGTATCTTGCTCGATAATACATAGATGAAACATAGCAAAATAACTGCGATTCAATTAATCGTTCTATCGTTTCACGAGTCGCCGTTTTATCGTCGCCTCGGGCAGGGCTTAGGAGGCTCGATAGTTATTCCTTTCACTTGAGTTACTAGCAATAGCTTCCGGTTTCATCTCAAGTTGGCTTCAAGTGCTTCACTGTATAAAGTATAGTAAAGCACTTGAAGTCTGTAGTTAAGAACGTGAGAATAATCGAAAAGTTCAAGTAGTAGTACCAAAAAAGTATATTACAATACGTTATAGAAGTGAATCAATCGAAAATTTTTATTGAAATATTTTCTATATGTATCATAGTAGTATTTTATTAGAATAAGGAAACCAGAGAAAGGTGGTAACATTGTGGCAAATCATAACAGAATTGATGAATTGGATATATAACTTAAAATAATTTTGATTTATCATATGTGAATATTCCGTATTTTCGCAATATTATAACTTTGTTGATAATTTTGCCAAATTTGGTTTGCACAATATTTAAATAATTTTAAATACGTAAATATATACAAGATGTGTTTGCAAATTTGCTTTTAATATTCTCATTGCAAATTTGCGTTTAATATTCTCATTTAACAAACGCAATTAATTTATCTGTTTTACGGCTAGGTATTATTGAAACCACCTCATTAATCGAAGATCAAATTAATGCAGAGATTCAGTTTTTCATAAATCGCTCGTTTTACTGGAAGATTAAATTAATGCAGAGATTCGATTTTTCATAAATCGCTCGTTATAACAACATGTCACATATTTGTTCGAGAAATGTCTTACTCTAAATATGATATTAAATGTGTAATAGTGAGCTTTTTATTTAAATATTTTTATTTAAATAAACGCCAATAACGCGATTTTTTAATATGATTAATGTGTTTACATATAATTCCTCTATAATTTTTACATAATATATGTACATATAACGACAAGCAATTAAAGATACTTTTCGTACAAGTACGCAAAATTTGTATGTCTTTTAATTTTTGTGAGTAAAGCATAAAGTGAACCTTTAATATCTCTGGGCGTTGTAGATTCTCATAGTTTATTGATAAAATTGAAGTGCTTTGTAAATTGACGATCCATTTCCAGCGCATCCAATTTTTGTAGAAGTATATGTGTGCAACTAGCGAAATTCAAATATTATATATATAATACGCATTTGGCTGCATGCCGCGCACATTGCTGTAAATATCGAATTAAAAGAGAATTAAAATAATCGATATTATGAATGCATTGTACATTTAAATATAACATTTCTACGCAATATATAAATTTAAATTACAAGAAAGATATAATAAACAAAGAATATAGTTTTAACAATAATATAAATAAATGTTTTATTAGCTATTGCAAATTTCTGTTCTATCGCAGATTTTTGATTTATATATTTCTGGAATTTTTTGAAAATTTTATCATCTCTACATATTTTCTATTCCGTATTTGAAATATCGCGACGATTAGAATTTCCGATACAAAGTTTGCTTTATCATTTCACTCAAGTCCGTTTACCCCCGTGCGGCGACAATGATCGGCCGCTATTCGCGGACACTTCATTTTGCAGCAGAACAAACAAGCTTTTAATCACAGTTTCAGTTTGGAGCTATTGTCTTTGCATCACAACGCCCTGCGTTTACCCGATTCGCGCTACTACCGGCAAAATCAATATCCCGCGTACTGCGCTTAATATTTTTCCACGGTTACGCGTCCGTAACTGCCTTTTGAGGGTGGCGTCGGGATTACGCAATATACGTACCCCATTGTGCTCCGCAGGAGCGCATAAAGCTAGCGACATAACGGGCTCCTCATTGGCGCTTGAATATTGGATAAGTTCGGCGGCGAGCACGAGGCAAACGGGACGATTACGGCATTCGCCGCTTTGCACCGCCGGACTTTAGGTTTCGTTGACAATGACTATAAGAAAGACCCGCAAAATTATTATGTTTCAGCTCTGCCCGATGGGAGACCCGTTATCGTATCGGAACGCGAGCGCTACGATATAGGAGACATGTTGAGGGCAAATTGCAGCCTGCCGTCATCGAAGCCGCCGGTTCACCTCTCATTCACGCTGAACAACATGCCGGTAAGTGATGCCTATCGACACGACGATTGTCATATTATCGAATCAGAGAGAGGGGAAATATGTGCGTTAGTGATTGAGTTTCGGCACTGCATTTGCAGTTGTAGGTATTTGCAGGGCATTTCGCACATTTGCATATACTTATTGTTAGATAATCTTTCCGGAAAAATATTTATGCAAATATTAGCGAAATTGAAACGTCCACTTTAAGATTTTATATTTGTTATTAATTAATTTATTCTACGTAATAATAAATTTGGAAAAGTGAAAATTTTTAAAATTTTTATTTTTGCTGTCTCACGATATATTCATTATATGTTATGTATACGTTATATATTATGTCAATCAACAATTGATTCGTAAAATCGTTGAAATGTACATGTTAATATATAAAATATTTCGAATCGTGGACGCTTTTTCCTTTTTTGTCCATTTAAGAACAGCGGTTTTCAAGCTTTACAGTATTCAATCGGAATACGTTTTTCTCACATCTTCTCGCTTGAAATGGATCTTTTTATAAAAATTGTTAAATCGAAGACTATTTGCTTTTACCACCCCATAAAACTCGTAAGCCTCATTGAAAGTGCGCGAGATTTCGATATCGATTTTCAATTTACAGAATATATATATATATATATATATATATATCTACATTGCTGTGCTATTATCATCACCGCCAATGTTTATTGTAGTAGGAAACTTCTCTGATCGTTCGAAAAGAAAATCATTTCCGTCACTGTTTTTCCTTTATCACACACTCGAAATGTGGATGCTATTTATTATCAGCTTTTAACCGATGTGCAGAGAATTTGCACAGTTTTACCCACTACGAGGGAACGTTTAGAGAAATTTAATTTAGTCCGAAATATTTCTGGCATTTTATGACGTTGCAAAGCTATTCAGAATGTTAGCAAGCTCTGCGAGCAACAAATTGACATCTTGAAGGGGATTAAGCGAATTTTTTTACTCTATGAAAATATACAGTAATATACGTATCGCCTATTTGCTTTCTGGGCAATCTAGTTCTTATGCCGAATTGAATGAATTCTCTGCGCAGAATTAGAGCATGGATGATTAAGCCTTACCCGTCGCCTCCCAAGTAAGAGGTTTTATCAAGTCGCGTCCGCACGATAGGAGAATTTGAATAATCGGATAATCCGTACAAAAGCCGCCAGGAGTACCGAACGAAATATTAATAACCGCGTGATATCGGCAAAAATGTTGTCGAGTAACTTTTGCCGAGTGAAACACGCCTGCACAGGCGTAGCCTTCGGCGATGCATTATCCATAATCTCCGGGGATGACGTCGCGGGATCTCATTAGCCGATACGGCTAAATGCAAAGCGAAAGCATGGTCCGTGCTTGATCGTCCGCAGAAATCCGAAATTTGCCACCGACTTTGATCGAGCAGAAACCCGTGCTGAATGTGACGTCCCGTCCCCAGAAATGCTTTTTTAATACTAGAAACATTTTTGCCATTTTATCCTTGACTTTGCATTATGTGAAGAAGTTGCTGTTAGACAAAAAAAACTTTTTGTGCTATTTTTTTTTTATATCTCTTTTACATATATAATATATATACCTATATATATATTTGCAGTTTTGTAGAACAAAATTACGGATTAAACTGATTAACAAGGAAACGTCCGAGTTGGTCATTGTCGAATATTTTGCATTAATCAAATATCAAATATGTCGAATTAATTTCTATTGGGAGGGAGAAGGAGGAAATGATTAGACTGGATAAATTCGATAATTTATAATAGAGAACATCTTCTATATATAAATTGTTTGAATTTTTAATCTTAATTTATATATATTTCTAATACCGTTTATTCTATAATGTCATTATTTTATATATTTAAACAGAAAAAAATTTTTACAATATATTTATTTTAATTGATTCACTCATTGTCAGAATGATTGTTCGATAGCGAATTGTAAATTTCTCTGTAAAGTTATAATGATATTATCTTTCACCCGACGGTGTGATAGTACAATAAAAAGCCGGGAAAATATAATTCCGAGGAAAATCAACCACGTGTTTCTTTCTCCATGGGACCTGGGAAATTAGTATCGCATATATACGTAAGTGCGAGTAACGATGGAACAGTGCCGACGGGGGCAGTGAGAAGGGTAGTAACGAATTGCTCAGGTCAGGAACAACCGGGTCGGTCTGCTAGCTTCTTACGGCTAACGTCTTGTCGAGAAACTCGTCGAATTTGCAGGGAGCGTTTCTGAGAGCGTGGAAGATATCTTGTCGCGGAAACAACGGTTTCTTACGACCAGGGCGTTGCCAGTACAAGTTTACTCGCATCGGAAAAAGTAGTTCACTTTCAAGAAAAACTTCTAGCTTTAGTTGATCTCTTCTCCAAAAGATTTATTCTTTTTACTCGTCGAAAATCTTTTTAATTAATATTGTATAACTTCAGAATATATTTTTGTTAATTAATATATAACGGTGTTTTTTTTAAATTTATTTTGTTATTCAGGATATAATCGTTTACAAATTTTACAAATACATAATTCACGTTTATTGTAAATTGTAGTACCCGTGTGACAAATTACATCTAGTTTTCCGTTTAAAAGTTGCTACAGAATCAACTTTTAATGAAAAAAATTGTGAGCTGCATTGTCTTTTATTTTTAACAATATAATTTAATGGATAAAATAAAAATTCAAAAGATCGGATTTTAGTATAATATATTTGCATAGTAATTTTCTTTTTCTCTTCTCTCTCTCTCTCTTCTCTCTTTTCTAAAGATTTTTATCTTCTAATCTTAAATTTTCTAAATAATTTATTAATTTTTTTTTTGCGTATTTAATTTATATATTAATTTATTCTACAAATAACTTATTTTAAAATGATAATAATAATATAAAATAATATATGTTGATATTCAAAATTATTGTAATTTGATTTTATTATGTTTATAAATGTATAAATTCAATGTACATACATTAAATGTGCTAATCAACTATTGGTAATTATTGTGACACATTAATATAAATAATACATATTTGCAATATAAAAAGTGCAATATTTAGTACGGACATTAAAGGACACATTATCAGTAAAATATCTTATCTATAGATGTAATAAAATGGTGATACGGCTCTTCCTGTCGATGAATACATTTCAAATTAGAATTTTAGATAAATTTAAATATTGGGTTAAACGGAAAGTTCGTTTCGTTTTTTACTAACAATAAGAGATGAAGACCGAAAAAACGGCACGAACTTTCCGTTCAACCCAATACAATCAAAGTGATTGTAGTTCGCTCCATAGGTTTTGAAATAAACCAATTAATAATCAATTTCAAATATACCGAAAAGTGTTTTTTCGATTATTGACGGTTATTCGAAAACCTATGGAACGGACTACAATAACTTTGATCTCATTTGAAAGATAATTTAATTCTCTACAAGCGACTGCAAATAATATATATTTACGCTTGCCTGTTTTGCATGTAGGATATCATAAAAAAATATGTAATGTATACGCCAGAATATCTTTAATAATATTTTAATTAATAAATTACGTTTTTTGAATGAAGTAGCATATTGCAAAATAGACGGTTTAATTCCAGATTATAATTTCGAATATTGAAATATATTTGTGTATCACGTACAATAAATTTCTCTTGATTCTAATAATGTCAAGCGTGCCAAAATCGCTTAAGAGTTTTTAATTTGCAATGTATATAGTTGTATATACTTGCATCTTAAAATAATATCAGCAAATATCGGTACATTATTTAACATATTTACATTTACTATTCGTAACCCAATATTCTTAAGGTTAATCTATGTGCCATCACTGCTATGGATACATATAAATTTTACGTAACTGACGCGCGTTCTTATGTGATATCAATATATGGTCCTTTAATACCTCATAACCCGGTATCGTAAATGGCGTTGGTTCACGTGCGACCTCGCTTATCTTACATCCGCGGTGCGCTTGTATGAGGCGATGAGAATGGGCTTGTTTAGTCCTTCACGTCCGATACATAAACTGGTATCATTCCAAAGAGAAAATAAGTATAGGAAGCAAAAGAGTATTCTTTACCTACATCCATGCTAAGATATCACTCACGATGTCATTTAGTATAACATGATGGCTTATATATTTCTAGCTAATAGTTTGATTAAGTCATTGATTGACAGACACGTTAAATTAAAATGACAAACAAAGAAAATTATATTAATTTGTAGAATCAAACATTGATTTCGTTCTTTCTCCTTAAATCTCATCCCCGAAATACTACATCGAGATATTTTCATGACCATGAATCTTTCGCGCTTTATTTCGGTCACACCTGTCTCTTCTTTTGCAATCATCCACACTATTCGCGTCGTCTATACGAGATTCACACGTCCAAGAATCTATCGGAATACCATGTATTACTGGATAATATGGGCGGGATTTATTATTTGAGATTTATTGTGGTTTTACGCGTCGCCCGATGCGTATAACCGCGCTACCGAGTCTGGCGGTGACAAATTACGACTTTTCTGAGATATCTGTTCGATAAATTGCGTTTTTTATTCTCTCGTAATTTTATTTCTAACGAATTTATTAAATACTTTTCTGCAAGAGAGTTAGTGTTCGGTCTTTACAGTCTCATGATCTCCGTATATCAACATTTTAATTTTTAATTTAGATCTGAATCTTTGATATGTTTGTTTTTATATTTACAACTGCTTGAGATAAAATAGCAAATGTTTGAGATTGATGATTTTAAAACAAAATAAAAACACGAGATGGAAAATTGATTTCCATGTAATGTTGCTATAAAATTAATTTATAAAGAAATGTTTAAATGTGAAAAGATTTTACGAGAGGTAATAAGTACTTGGAATTTTTTAATGGTTATTTTATGTTATTTTATTATATTTTATTTATATTTAAATGTTGTTAGTTATTCAATGATTTCAATTATCCATTTGATTTTTCGTGCGAGATCTCGTTTACACAATTAAAAATTTTTTAATTAAAA